TACTAACACAAGATACACTCCTGTACTCGGTACACTCCTCTTGGAAACTCCCCCACAAAGGGTCAACATTTTGAATGTCCATGAAGCTCATTAAACGCGAAATAAACATTCGAATCCATTCAGACTTGGTACACTCAATATTTCTATCAACATATTAAGATGTGTTATTAAGATAGGAGGGATCGAACTATTTCTTCTGGTACCTACTACCTATCTACCTATGTTTATATCACATTCGTGGTTGTTTAAGAATAATTTTTGTAACATGTACTAGGCCCGCAACTTAAACATTTTACAAAATGTTTTCAATGACTAAACATCTTACCTCGCTTTAAATATGACTTCCTTTCTACACCCGATATGGCGCTTTCACAACCTGATGTGAAAGATGTCATTCTTTTAGCCTTATAATGTATAACATGAGTTTTCTCACATCAAGGCTTTCTTTCCAAAAGCGCCCTGACATTAGGCCAACCTTGCCATATTTAGAAATAAAAATGTGAGACATTATTAAAGCACAAATAAAAATTGAAACAATTCCATAGCCAGTCATAACTCAACAAGGAAACATAATAAATGAAAAAAGAAGAAAAAACAGACCACAACGCATTACCTTTTACGTCAACTGGCACGTTATATGCTAGCCGTATCACGCTTTATATAGACTTTACATAGAGAGGCAGTAGAAGAAAAGGAAAAAAGAAAATATGAAACAAACACCTGTCTAAATACGCAATCAAAATCAAGTGAGATTTATAAGGTAATGCCGGTTGGCATTTCCAGTTGTTGCTTTGTTTTTAGAATAAACCAAAAGGGGGGCTTGACAACGTCAAAAGGAAATCTATGCAAAATAAAGGTAAAAGAGGTTATTGTTTTGCGGATTTTCGTTTCGTTTCCATGGGCACAGGTGTTCATTGGGGCCGCATTGTTATTTGGGGTTTGATTGGCTGGCTTTTAGTTGCCATTGCAAAGCCTAATCTTTGTATATGCCTCTGAGTAGTACATACATTTTTTTGTATTTTAATGTAAACAATAATCTCTACAACACGAAGTAATAATTTTGTAATCTATATAAACTAAATTATTGACCCAACAAACTAAATTTTATTATTAATACCTTTTAATGCTCTTATATCTTTTCACGATATGTTTTGAAATATGACCCTGAAATTCGAAGATAATCGGATTCTTATTTCGCATTTTATGAGCGTTTTGTTGAAGCCTTTATTTGGGAAGTACCAGATGGAGTGGTCCGATATATATTCCATTTTCCCACCAGATCTTTTGTCAATAAAAATATTGGATTGGAGTAAAATTGAAAAAAAAAAAACAAGTTAATGAGTATCAGTCGGTTTTGCAGACAGATGTATACCTTCGATTATTTAAATATATTTTGACTTCTGTTATTAATTTTCAAACTCTTGGCCCTTAATGGAGTGGGTTTTGAATAAATAACTATGATATAAATATTATTAGCAAAAGAAATGGTCCGGTCTCTATCATTTGTATAACAAATCTTGTGTTGATGGAAATATTTTAGATAATCCATCTTTGGAATGGAATCGGATGTTGATTTTGCTTTTTATGAGCTTCATGGATATACAAAATGTTGATCATTTGTGAGGCAGGTACCAGAAGGAGCGGACCGATATTGTCAATTTTCGCACCAGACCTAGCACTGACGCAAATATTAGGATATGCAAAGTTGGAGCAAAATCGGATTATCGTCTTTCTTTCTGTTCAAAAAATATATATTTTTTTGAAAATTTCGACCATTTGTGGGGGTGGTACCAGAAGGAGTGGACCGATATATTCCATCTTTACACCAGACCTTGGATTAATATAAATATTGGTATGTGTGAAATTTGAAGACAGCCGCAATCTTACATGACATTTTATGAGAGTTGCAATTATTCAAAATTTTGATCATTTGTGGGGGAGTTACTTGATGGAGTGGACCGACATTGTCCATTTTCACACCTAAATTAGCCCTGACGCAAATATTAGGATTTGCAAAGTTGGAGCAAAATCGGATTATCGTTTCTCTATCTGTGCAAAAATATATATTTTTTTTTGAAAATTTCAACCATTTGTGGGGGAGTTACCAGAAGGTGGTCCCATATATTCGATCTTCTCACCAGACCTTGGGTTAATAAAAATATTGTGATGTGTGTCATTTGAAGACAATTGGACTCTTGTCAATTTTTGCACCTGACCTAGAACTGATGTAAATATTTCCCTCTCTCTCTGCAGTAAAATATTTTTTTTGAAAATTTCGACCTTTTTTGTGGGGGAGGTACCAGTTAGAGTGGACCAATTTTACCCATTTCCGAACTCGATTTAAGTTTGATATTACGATGCATCTAGTTTGGACCAAATCGGATACTCCTTTCGAGAGTTATCGTGAGCACCAGCCAGCCAGACCGACGGACATTGCTAGATCGACTCCAAATGTCTGAAACCGATTTGATCCAAAGAGACCTAGGGTCTAAAACCTTTATTTCGATGGGGCACGTTTTTCCTTATCAAATTATATATACCCTCTCCAGCCATATGACTGAGGGTATAATTAACCTGTTGTGCAGGAGGTACGAGAAGGCATGGCCCGTTCTATTCTAACTTTATACCAGATCTAAAGTTGGTAAAAATATTGGGAAGTGCGAAATTTTATGAAAATCGGACTCTTATTTCAAATTTTTTAAGAGTTATATTCTAAATTTTGACTCTTTGTGGGGAGGAACCAGAAGCCTTGGACCATCTTCGAAATCGACCTAAGATTGATAATAACCTGGACCTAAAGCTACCTCCATGATCTAGAGAGAGAGAGAGGTACAGAAGTGTAAGAAAGAGCCTCTAGCATATCATTCACTACTGAATAGTATTCACTCAGAACAGTGACAATTTTATGCTAATACGAATATTTAGGGATGTTTCAAGGTGGAGGGTATACAAAAGCAAATACGAATGAATTTCCGACCCACACACTCGTCGTTAAAAAAAAAGAAAAAAAAAAAAAAAAAAACAAGTAAAAAGCTGTAAGTGCGGGCAGGCCGAATTTTGAATACCCTCCACCATTTTGAACGAATTTGGCAATATTAAAAAAAAAATCCGTTAAAAATTCTGCTAAAATCTTAAAAATACCGAATGCTTATACGACGACGTGGACCTTCATAGGCAAGTTTATTACAATATTTAAATGCGGAACTTGAAGAAAAATCTGTTTATAATGTAGCTAAAATCATCAAAATACCGAATATGGGGGGTACCGTCATATGGGGGCTGTACGAAGACCTGGACCTGCACAGACAATTTTCTGGCATGGGCTGAAGTATCTATTACGAACTTCAAATACCAAATTTGGAACGATTCCGTTAAATAATGTCTCTAAAATCATCAAAATACCGAATATCGGGGGGTACGGTATATGGAGGCTATACGAAGACGTGGATCTACATGGCCCATTTTCTGTTTTATGCTGCAGTATCTATTACGAACTTCAAATACCAAATTTGGAACGATTCCGTTGAATAATGCCGCTAAAATCATCAAAATACCGAATATCGGGAGGTACCGTTATATGGGGGCTATATGATAACTTGGACCTACATGGCCCATTTACGAACTTAACCTGCCTACTAGCAAAATATACATATGTGCAAGATTTTAGCCTTCTATCTTAATTTGTTCGAAAGATAGCGTGATTACAACAGACAGGCAGACAGACAGACGGACAGACAGACACACAGACAGACAGACGGACATGGGTATATCGTCTTAGAATTTTACGCTGATCAAGAATGTATATACTTTGTTGGGTCTGACATGAGTATTTCGAGGAGTTACAAACGGAATGACAAAATTAATATACCCTCCATAGTATTGTGGAGGGTATAAAAACAACAAGAAAAAAAGCTGTAAGTGCGACCAGGCCGAACTTTGAATACCCTCCACCATTTGAAACGAATTTGGCAATTTCCAAAAAAAAAAAAAAAAAATCTTTAGAAAATCTGTTAAAATCTTTAAAATACAGAATGTAGCCGTTATATTAGAGTCTATGCGACGACGTGGACCTGCATAGGCAACTTTTGTCAAAAGCCATTACAATATTAAAAGCGACAAAAGAATACTGTACCTAAAATCATCAAAAAACCGAATATCGGGAGGTACCGTTATAGGAGGACAATATCAAAACGTGGACCTGCAGAGACAATTTTCTCTAATAGGCTGTAGTATCCATTACGAACTTCAAATACCAAATTTGAAGAAATTCCGATGAATAATGTCGTTTAAATCACAAAAATAACGAAAATAGGGAGGCACCATTATATGGAGGCTATACCAAAACGTGGACCTTCATGGCCCATTTTAATACAAATAGTCCTGCAGACATAATATGCATTTGAGTAAAATTTTATCAACCTACTTCATTTCGTTCGGAAGCTAGAGTGATTTCCACAGATGGACAGACGGACGGACACCGCTAAATCGACATAGAATTTTATGTTGATCAAGAATATATATACTTTGTGTATGTACATTTCGAGGTGTTACAAACGGAATGACAAAGTTAATACCCTCCATACTATAGTGGAGGGTATAATGAACTTTCACAAAAAAATAATTGCACTTATTTATTGGACCTTGGTGGCATTTTGCATTTCCATGTTAAAATAAGGGATGTATGCCGAATGCTGTTTTCTAAGTAATAATTGGTGTCAAAATGATTTTGATAAACCCCCACAAAATATTGAAAAATTTCAATAAATATGTCTTTGATACAGTTTGGTATTCATAGGAATTTTTTTTCTTAAAAAAATATAGTAAATTCTTTAAATATATTCTTAAAATTTTCGAATTTGCCCCGATAATCCTTAAATTAATCTTATTACATTTATAATTTTTTATTTTTTTTCAGGTAAGTTCAAATCCTACCAAATGCCCAACAATTGTTTTTTTTTTGCTATTTTTGTCATCTTTGCTAAGTAAAACAACCCCTCAAATGCTGTTAACTTTAGATATTTATTCACTCAATAACGAAAATTAGTTAAAATATTGCAACAATTGTTTGGCCAAATCTTGGGCTTTTCCGGCAGTTTGTTCAATTACGGCCTGCAATTGATTACCATCGGTTACAGGGGATTCGGGGGCAAGGGTGGTATCTGGCGGCAAGGCAGTGGTTGTTGTGGTGGTGCTGGCCTTGGTGGTGGTGGTGGTTGGAGCCAAAGTTGTGGTGGTGGTGGTGCTAGGAGCTCCGGTGGTGGTAGTGGTCGAAGGAAGAGCAGTAGTAGGGGCAACACGACCCTCCAAACAATCCTGCAAATGACGATAGACCATAGCGGTGTCCTCAACATATTTACGTTCGGCGGCCTTGCAGCATTGGTCGTGTCTCAAATCGATCAAGCGGAATTTCTCATGCATAATGCTGGCGTACTCGGAAGCATTGCCGGAAATGCTGTACACAGCCTTGGTGCTCTTGGCGCCCTAGAGAAAAGGAGAAGAGAATACATATTATGAAAATGGAAAATTGCAATTTAAGTGTGTCGGAAACTTACAATATCAGCATGACAGCTAAAGATACCCAGTGTCGAATTCATGCTGTTACAGGTCTTGATGCTGGAACAAACTTCCTGGGCACTTTGGACAATATTGCCACGTTCGACTTTCATCTCCTCTTCAATCAATTTACGGCCATCCTTGGCATTCACCAAACACTGGTTGTAGTCCTCGCTATAGGTTTCACTGATATCGTTCGACTTGACCATATAATCGTTGAAGCAGGCCATTGTCACAGCAGGATCACGGCTAACCATACGGGAACGGAAGAACAGATTGGCTAAATTATGGCCACCGGGCAAAGCAGCATCCGCAGCGTGGACCAGCACAAAGGCCACCAAGAAACTCTTTAAAACTCCATTCATTTTGGCAATGTTCCTGTTGCTTGTCCGCGTGTCTTCGTCTTGATGTGTCTGATTCGAAGGATTTCCTGAGACTGTTTGAGATGATGGCAGCCCCTGGAATTCTTATAGCTTTCTTTTTTGCGCTTCTGTGCACCAAAGTATATCATCAGATGTTATGTTTTGCTTATCTTAAAGATAAATCACGACAGATATTTGCTTGCTAATCGGTTATCAGTTTGGCCAAGGAAAGTGGTGAATCTGCATAATTGGCCGACCGAAGTAAGTCACATTTTCTTCTAACGACAGTAGAATGGACGGTGTTTGTTGGGTTTTTGTTTATTCTAGGTTGTTGTTATTTATTTTTGTTTAGGTAATTCTATATTTATAGCGTGCTTAGGGGGAATTGAGGTCGACTTTGTGAAGTCGGTAAATCTTCATAAATAATTGCAATTTTTTTTTATTCTGTGGGAGAGATCTAAGCAGGAATCTCTAGCTGGCAAAAATTTGGTAGTGTATGCCACATTTAGCAAAATAAGCAAAACCACACGCCTCCCCCCTCAACAAAAACCTCTCTACATTACCAGTATCCCAAAAATAATGACAATTACATACTCTCTGCTTACCGGTAAGCAAAACATAATGAGTTGTTCCTTAGGACATTTACAAGGCAAAAAGACATAATACCACACACCACTCTGTGATGTAGGGTATGAAAACTCATATCTAGAAATGAGAAACGGCGGCACAGAGTGAGCACGAATTCCATGATCGCTGGTCCGCCCAAACAGACAAAGACATAAGAAACCACAACTTAATCCCAGCAAAAAATATCATTACCAAATAATGGATTTCCTAACTGTGTCACCAATAAATTCTTACATAACAGCATTCTTCTAACCTCTTATTTTGACATGACTATGTCATAGAAAGTAAGTACTTACCAAACTGCCACCATGAGACTGTAAAATAGTGGCAGTATACACTCAGTGCTGGAATACCAATACCAGCTGTAGTGTTCAAGAATCGAATGACTGCATTTGTATACCCTAAGCCATATGGCTAGAGAGATGCAGCCAAAACGTGCCTAATCGAAATAACAGTATTAGATCCTAGGTCTCTCTGTACCAAATCCGTTTCAGGACATTTGAAGTCGATCTAGATATGTCCGTCCTTCCATCCGTCCGTCTGTCTGGCTGGTGAGCACGATAACTCTCGAAGGGAGTATTCGATTTGATCCAAACTTGGCACATCGTAATATTATTGTCAAACTTAGATCGAGTTCGGAGATGGGCTATATCGGCCCATTCCCTCTGGTACCTCCCCCACAAAATGTCAACATTTTCAAAGAAAATAATTTACTGTACAGGAGGAGAAAGGATAAACCGATTTTGCTCCAACTTTGCAAATCCTAATATTTGCATCAGAGCTACATCAGGTGCGAACATGGACAATATCCCTCCACTCAATCAGTTACCTCCCCCACATAGTGTCAACATTTTGAATAATTATAACTCTTATAAAATGTCCGATTGTATTTAAATTTCGCACGTCACAATATCTGTGTCACTCCTTCTGGTACCTCCCTCAAAATTTTGAATATCCATGAAGCTCTTAAAACGGATTCCATTCAGACTTGGTACATTTCAATGTTTTCACCCACAAAGGGGCAAAGTTTTAAAAAACCAAAACGATCGTAAAATGCGAAAAAAGCATCCGGTTCTCTTCATATTTCACACACCGCATTGTTTCTACTAAGATAAGCTCTGCTGTAAATATGGGAAATAGCAGTCCGCTTCTTCTAGTACCTTCCACACAAAGGGTCAACCTTCTGAACATCCAAGAAGCTCATAAAACGTGAAATTAATATCCGATTCCATTCAGATGTCGTATATCTACAAGATCTTTTAAAAATATGGTAGGGAGCGGACTACTTATTCTGGTACCTCCCCCACAACAGGGCTCATGATTTAAAAAACAAAACTGTCAAAGAGAGCGGTATAAGCATCCAACTCTCTTCAATTTTCACACATCCAAATATTTGTGCTAACGCTATATCTGTGCAACCAATTTCAGGCTGCTATCATTTCTAAGTCACTCGTCCGACGGCTGTTAAAATTATTCCAGTGTCAGCTCATTATATTGTTTACAAGCGTACAAAATCATTTTGGTGAGAATTGTCCAGAAAAAAGTTATTCGTGGTGGAATTCAAGCGTGGTAGTGTGCTTTCTTTACCACAAGTGGCTATAGTTAGAGCACCAGTGTTCCAGCATTTAAATGTGCACAAATCTTTTGTGTCTCGTACCATCGCTCGTTTCCGTCATACTGGTAGCGTAGCCCGACGTCAAGGAAGTGCACGGAAGAAAACAGCAACATCAGCAGAAATGGTTCGAAAAGTAAAGAAGCGACTTGATCGAAACCCGCCTCGCAGTGGCCGAAAAATGGCTCGTGAGCTGAACATATCGTAATATTCCATTCGACAAATATTGAAAAATGAGCTCGGGGAAAAACCATTAAATTTCAAAAAAGTTCAAGAACTTTCACCGCAACAGAAAGAAAATAGACTCAAAAGAGCTAAAGAGTTGCTTCGCTTGGCCGAAAGTGGTGAACTGCCGAATTTGGTTTTCTCCGATCTCCGATGAGAAAACACTCGTTGTCCAGCAGTTGGTAAACAAACATAATGATCGTGTTTTCTTGCCAAAGAGGTCAGCTGAAAATGTGCACCTTCGGTTTGCCACCAGAACTCAAGCGCCGGCTATGTTGATAATGTGGGCCGCCATAACAGTCGATGGTCGCTCTCGGCTCGTATTAATCGCCGTAGCATCACAACAATGCCGAATATTAACGCGACAATATTCTGGAGGGTGTATAAAGCCTTGGACACGCAAACATTTTGGCCGCAGACCTTGGACATTCCAACAGGACTCAACACCATCGCACTCACCACGCGCCACCTAAGAATGGTAACAAAATGAGGTTCCTCGCTTAATTTCCAGAGCACAATGGCCACCAAAATCTCCGGACACCACTCCGGTGGACTATTGTGTCTGGAGTGTTTTGGAAAGCAAGGTTCGTTCTAAAAAATACCAAAGTGTCGATCACCTCAAGCAAGCGCTTCGCCAGTAATGGGCTAAAATACCTCAGAGAAACATTCGGGGAGCGTGGCCGCTTGGAGGCCATAATTTGTGCCAAAGGTGACTTTTTGTGCTTTCATTCAATAAAATTTAGAAAAAAAAAATGTAAAATTATGGAGTTTGACTTTGTTGCAGTTTTTTCATCTTACCCTGTATGTGGAACCTCGCGCACACTTTTAACATTTTCTAAAAATTAGCACATACCTCATATAAAGTGAAGGAAGCAACCAATATGTCATATTTATTTATGTCCTATATGAAATGGACAATATTGGTCCATTCCATCGGAACCTATTCCATAGAGGGTCAATAATTTGAATAATCATAACAGAAGTCAAAATATATTTAAATAATCGAACTTTGGCTGAGGGTATACATCTATTGGCAAAACCGACTGATACTTTCTAACTTGTTAAATTCTAACTTTTGTGGTGACGATTTGAGATCCTCAGGCATTGGGTTCTCGAGCCGTCCCCAGTCGATGACATGTAAAGTCCGATGTAAATATTACGATTTACCAAGTTGGTTAATTTTTTTTTTCTTCAAATAATGTTCACCTATATTGTCCATCAGTAATTCAATCTAGGCTTGTAAAAAATAATAATACTACGATGTCTCAAGTTAGGACGAGGCCTGAGACACCCTTAGAAAGTTATCGATCTAGCATAATGAATAAATATATAATAAGTATTGATATGAGGGTCTTTCTCACCTCTCTCATGGTTATTAATTCCAAAATTAGGAATTTTTCAACTTAATTTCATGGTCTAAAGACCTTGTATGTCTTGTGGGGCATTATTTAGTCGAATATGCCTCATATACTAAAATGGCTATTTACTCTCAGATATTACTGTTGATTCATCTGCCGTTTGGTGTATTTGTGATTTGTCACCGAATCGGTTGGTCGGTCTATGATTTCTTATCTCTCCCGGCCACTGTAGGTTTTCCAAGAAATCTACTGTTGGCGTTTTTTTGTTTTCTAATACTAACGTTTCAATTGGCACTACCTATCTACCGGCGATAAAAACCAAAAGCAAAACATTTATTTTCATCTCTATAAGCAAAGTTTTTGTTTTTAAGATTTCAATACTCCATGCTGCAGATATATGAACGTGTCCACCTCCCCGCAGTTGTCAGAGGGAATGCCTAGAAGTGGTGGATAACGCTTTTGGGTTATCTGATTTCCGCTGCTGTATTTATTGGGTCAGGCCCGTTATAGCGTCACTCCTTACATTGTCTCGTGGGAGGAGACGGTAGCATCATTTCAATTATTATCTACTGTTGTTGCTGTTTTTTTTTTTATAAAAATTTAATTTGTTTGCATATTGTTTATTGTTGGCCGTACCCGTGTTGTTTATTGGGCCAAGATGTGACTAAGATTGTGTTATTAAAAGAAGAGAAAAAAAAAACAATGGCGCTTGTTGTGTGATATATGAATATCAGCAAAAGAGCAGCATGATTTATTTTCTTAAGGCTTTGGAATTCTCCATAAAATACTTATTTTTTTATTATTCTATGATTATAGCTGGATTGTTTATTGCGATGAGTTAGTGGAGATTTTTTAGAAATAATTATAGTTCACTGCGGCTGAAATTTATTTTTGGCATTTTTAACCATTTGACACATTTAATTGTTCTGGGTGGAGTTTGCCATTGGATAAAAAATACGCTATGCAGTGAAAAATTAAAATATACAGGGTGAGATAAAAAACTGCAACAAAGTCAAACGCCATAATTTTTACATTTTTTAAATGTTATTGAATGAAAGCAAAAAATGTCGGAAATAGCATCAAATTTTAGAATAAAAACAGTGTTGGTTTTTTTGTTCGGGATACCATAGTATTTTGTTGTTGCAAAAAGGTTAGGATTAATCCCTTTATTGTTGTTCTTATAAAAACAACGTTTGTTTATTAGTGGAGAACGATGGTAATTTTTACCAGTTTCCTTGTTTTTTGTATGGGATATTCTCCCCAGAAGCTA